TTCTTCAATCTTTCTCAAGCGCTCCATCTCAGCATCTCTTTCTCGCTTTAGTCTCTCCGGTTCTTTCTCACATTGCACGGTCACTCGAGAAGGCAATGGTCTTTCTAATTTTGCATCTTGATTTAAACCCGCTTGAGTCTCATAGATACTTCCTCTTTCCTGTTGAGGGGTGAATTTATTTTCATGGTTTCTGAAACCAGAGGATGTTTTGTTAGTGCACTTGCTTTCCATTGGATTCCTTTGATCACGACCACCACCTTCTTTTCTGACATTCTCGTCTTCAACTACAACGCCTTCTAAGCTTTCTTCAATTTCGGTTTTCATCCCAATGTCTCGTTTAAGAACTGAAGCATCTTTGGTGCTTTCACACTTTTTGCTCTTCTGTTCGACTTTTCCTCCTTGAATATTGTCAGTGAAGGAAGCGGATTCCTCACCTGATTCTACATTTCCACCCAGCTGAGTTTCCTCTTCATTCCTCTCAGGTTCAGTATCCAGCTCAGTGGTCCCTTCTGTTAGGCTTGCATCTTTAAGATTCTTCTCAAATACCTTCCAAGGACAGGCATCTTCAGACACAGACACTCTCCGGCTTGGTCTTTCTTCTTCTTGTTTGTTCACTGAATCATGGTTGTCTACTCTCTCATCATCTTCTAAATTGTCGCTAAGACTCTCGTTTGACCATTGCTCTCCATGAGCCTCTCCGGTGGTTTCACAGGTTTTCTCCAACTCACAAGCATCTCTTTGTTTCTTGTCTCTCTCTTCTCTTGTATATTCATGTTGTTTCATTTCGTTTTCCTGATGCTCTTGGTTTTCTCTATGTGTTCTTTCTTCTTCTTCTTCTCTTTCCTTGGCCTCTTGCAGCCTCATCCTCATCTCTTCCTGTTCAAGATCCTCTTTCAGTCTTCTCTCAATCTCTGCCCTCTCGAAAGCTTCTATCAGCCTTTTTTCTCTCTCTTCTAGCTCAATAGCTTCTTTCAGCTTCTTCTCATTCTCCTCTTTTTCACGTGCCTCTTTCGCCCTCCTCTCTTTCTCCTTTTGCTCAAGAGCTTCTTTCAACTTCCTCTCATTCTCTGCCTGCTCAAGAACCTCTTTAGCTCTCCTCTCATTTTCTTCCCTCTCTTGAAACTCTTTAATCTGCCTTTCCTTCTCTTCTTGTTCAAGAGTTTCTCTCAGCCTTTGCTCCCGCTCTGCCTTCTCACGAGCCTCTTTTATTCTTCGTTCGTTTTCTTCCTTCTCATGTGCTTCTTTTATTTTCCGTTCCTTCTCTTGTTCAAGTGCAACTTTCATTTTCCTTTCATGCTCTGCCTTCTCACGAGCCTCTCTCATTCGACGGTTTTTTTCTTCCTTTTCAAAGGCTTCTTTAAGCCGCAATTCATACTCTTCTTGTTCCTTCATTTTCCTTTCTTGTTCTGCCTTTTCGCGAACCTCTCTCATTCTACGGTTCTTTTCTTCCTTTTCAAAAGCTTCTTTTAGCCGCAATTCATA